GACTAAATAAAATGTGGTATTGTGGATGAGATCCTACAATGGAAAATGGACATTGATAGAAGCCAAGGAAATTTGAATAAAGTATGAAATCTAGTTAATAAATGTATCAGTATTGGTTCATTAATTGTGACAACTTAACCATACTAATGCAACATGTTAATAATAGGGGGAACTGAGTATGAGACATATTGAGAACCTTCTATACTATCAATTTTTCTGTAAACCTAAAATAAAAAGTTTTAAAAAGGCACAAGTTAGAAAATGGCAAGACAGAATGGGACATATTCATTCACTGAACAAATTTTTTTTAAATATCTGTGTACTTGATACTCTTTTTTTTTCCTTTTGGTGGTGTGGGGTTCAAATTCAGGGCCCCATTCACGCTAGGCAAGTGCCGTGCCACTGAGCTCCAGCCACAGTCCCCCAAGGAACCATTTTATGTTCGTGTAATTTTTTTCCTTTGGTGCTGGAGCTTGACCCTAGAATCTTGCACAAGTTAAGCAAGTGCTGCATCACTGAGCTACACATTCAGCCCCTTGACACTTCTCTGGGGACTGAGGGTACAGCAGTGCACAAAGGAAAGAAAGATCCTTCCCTCAAGGATGGAGAATCGTGTATGGAATGTGTTGATCTGACAGAGCTAATTTGTGCTCCCTGCACAGCACCCTCCCTTATCAGGGAAGTGGGATTCCAGTGACAATGTGACCTTATTATTTCCTGTTAGAAGAGGGTCAAAGAAGATTCAGGCCATTGCTCAGCAGTAAGAGGTCAATAAAAAGAGATCTTGCATAGGAAGTGGACGCTTGAACAGCTGGGAGCCAAGTGGCACAGCCAGAATGCAGCTCCTGGTGTACCTCCTGCGCCTCGGAAGGCATCACGGCCCTACAACCTAACGTTTGCTCAGGGAGCACACATATGCCAGGCACAGAGGGTGGCCAGGGGAAAGGTCCTTCCAATTGCTCGGTCTAATCTGTTTCACTTTACAGGAGAGGACATCGAGGCCTGGTGGTCACAGTGCTGCAGGACTCTCGTGCAGAGACAACAAGCCTTTTCCCAGGATGCAGCTTCAGTCCGGCCGGCACTGATTCGGCAGATACGTATTCAAAGACTGAGTGCCGAACACGGCAAAGTTGCTTGTGTCTTTGTCTCCCTTTTATGAGCATACACTAACAATTTACAGTCCAGTTGGGTATAATTTATGTTACAGAGTTACATCAGAACTACACAGGTGTACGCAGGGGCTGATATCGCTACACTGTAAAAAGTCCCCCCACCACCACCAGGCATTAAGAGGGGCCCTGCCACAACAGGGCCATCTCTAAATATAATTTTTTTTTAAATTTTTTTTCCCCAAAACCCATGCTTGGTAGGCAAGTGCTCCACCACTGAGCTACATCCCAAGCCCTTGAATTAGCTTTAAAAATTTTATTCTTCAGAGGCTGTGGGTATTTATTCTGACACTAGACATCAGCAAAAATTGAAGGGTTATGCTTACAATCCCAGCTACTCTGGAGACTGAGGCAGGAACATTGCAAGTTTGAGGCAGCCTGAACAATGTAGTAAGGCCCAGTCTCAAAATAAATGTGGGTGAGGATGTGTATCAGCGCAAGGCCCCAAGCTCAATCTCCAGGACTGCTGAAACAAAAAAAAAAAAGGAAAGAAAAAAATGAAAGGCTAAGTGTGCATATCTGTTTTGTATAAAACATTAACATAGAAAAAAATCAGAAAAGGTAGTTATAGAATAAACAGCACTGTGGGTTCAATAACAGGTGATAAGAGTTTGGAAGCTGATTTTGTTCTATATAATCAATTATAAAACTAATGGGCTGTAACAGGATAACTAAGGTGGCCTTAAGGGCACCATAACTAAAATCAGGTGACTATGTTTTGCATTTGCATTAGCTAAGTAACAATTTACAAAAGTGTACGTGGTATAGGGGGTGGGGCAGGACTGACACTTCTTCAAAGACTAAAAGACAAATAACAAAAATGTAAGACCTTCAGAATAATGCCAGACTCAATACTTACATAAAAACAGAGCAGAGAGAATTCCTGTAAACTTAGCACTTGATTTAAGCCAAGCACAAGCAGATAACCATGCTATTCCTAAGAAACTATTCCAGGGGTATCAACAGCATCCCGAAGACTAGAGACACACCTAGGATATCAATTTTAGAGCCAGCTTATTCCCCAACAATGCCGATAATTCTACACAAAGACAGGAATGTAACCAGAGAGCACACTCAAAGAAAATTACTTTTGAAATTGAGTTTTCAATCCTTCCTTTAGGCATTGTTTTTAACCAACCACCAGGGCAGAAGATGCCTTTGCTTTACCGGGGGAGCACCATAAGCACATTGGAGGAGAAATTTTAATGAGAAGATAATGAAAGATGAATGAGGAATGAGAATTATTAGCTTCACCTCTAACATTGAGCTAAGTTTTATGTACGCTAGAGAGGAGAATCACCTGGAGAGCTTTAAACTTTTCCTAATGCTCTGGCCTCATCCCAGGGCAGTTACAGAACTTTCCAATGTCAGGGGTGGGACCCTGGCATAGGCACTTTTTAAAGCTCCCCAGGTGGTTCCAGTGTGCAGCCCAGTTAGGAATGAACAGCTCTATAGAGAGTTAGTCTCAGTTTTGAATATCAGATACTCTTAATGAAAGCAGAATAAACCAAATAAACACCCTAGGTGTACAATACCCTAAAATGTCACCCAATTGGATACAAAACTGTAATTTTAACATTTTTTTTTCAGTAAAATGCACCCAGCTTTGACTTTCCTGTCTCCAGACATTTCCAAAGCAGAGGCAATAACTTCCTAAATCCAGATTCCTCCATATTCTTGTGGTGAGCTTGAGGTGCAAACTGAGGAAAAGAAATCTCATCTCCACTCCTCCAGCCTCCTTGGTTGGCCTTTCCAGAAGAGAAAACAAGCAAAGACTAGCTTCTCTTAAATGTTTCAAAACAAAATAATTAAAATGACTTTTTGGGTAAACAACCATGAAACTCAATGAGCTATTTCCTTTATTTTTTAATAGTCAGACTGAGGGTCTATCATGGAAATAGCTGCATTCTTTCGGCTCTGCCAACTCACTCAGCGAAATTATGTTACAGGAGGGCTGCCTGTGACCCATGGTGTGTGCGGGTTCTGGAAGGCATGTATACCTCTGGCCATTTGGGCACTTGCCTGCTGAGCTGTGGAGCGGTGGCTTTTTCCAGTTTGTGAAATCTCCCAAACTACTCACACCATGACAATTTGCACAGTCTAATTGGGAAGATATTATCTAAACCTGATTGAGGACACTCAATAAACAATAATGAAAAAGACAACTTTTATTGTCCTCGAGCTTGAAATTCTCCCTGAAGCTTGAAGTTCAAGAGTGTAGTGGCCAGACTACTGGATTTCTAAGAAAAGAGTAACTCCCTCTAGCACCACTTTTCAAGCAATCATGAAAAGAAGCATCAAAAAATGATCCAGATTAGGAATGTCTCTTTCCTCCCAAAGACATTCAGGTAGACAGAGGAATAAAAATATTCCCCAGCTGCCTGGTGAAAATAGTCATTTATTCTAATCAAGAGAATGGCTGTAATACTACTACACTATTTTGCTTCCGAGTGGTAATGACTTGTTTCTGAATATTAAAAAAGGAACAGTATTCAGCAACACAAAAGTATGCATAGGTACTAGAGCGTGGATGAGCCTCAAAAACAGACTTAGTGAAAGACGCTCCATAGTGCAGGATTCCATTTATAAAAATACAGAAGACAAGTCCCTAGGAGAAGCAGCAGGGCAGTGGCTAAGACTGAGAGTGTGCAGAGAGATTGCAGAAGGGGACATTTTCAGAGTGCCAGAAATGTTCTAAACCTGGATTGTAAGTGAGGGTTTATACAACTATATAAACTAAGAAGGCACTGAATTATATTCTTAAAATAGATAAATTTATAATATATAAGCTATAACTAAACCTATTTGGAAAAAAATGATATTGTGCCAGGAAGTTAACGGTTGTCTGTATTTGGGGCTGGTAGCTACCACGTAGGTCATTTGTCTCAAGAATTCTGCTCCTTATGTGTCTACCCTATAAAAAGTTATATTTGGGGTGGGGCTAAAGGCGATCACGCAATACCAAATCCAAGATGGTGTGCAACCACCACAGACCACATCTGGAACCTGAAAAGGCAACCAGGTATAAACAAATGGTTCTTGTTCTCCTGGAGGCATGGCCGTACCCATTACAATAGATGGGGTCCTCCTGGGACAAGTGACCACCAGCAGAATCGAAGTCGGGAGTCCGAACCCCCAACAAACAGCCAGTGGGCAGGTTTTCCAGCAAATAAAGGGCACGCGTTTGCCAAATCCAGGTTTGTTGTACTTTAGGAGTCGGAACTCATTCCAGCAGAGCACGAGGCTGGGAAGTTTCGAGGACCCGGTAGCTCTCCTGGGGACCCTGCGCTGCTCAGCCGCCGTGGTCCAGCAGAGCTAGAGCGATGACAGTGGGGACTGTGCGCGGGGACCGCCACCCCCGCCAGCCCTCCCGCCCCACGCC